GATAATAACATGGCTACTATGCGCACCATTCCTACCATCAGTAATCTTGCAACTAAACCCTCGGATGTTTCACCTTTACCACGGGGAGGTCCCTAGGATCCCCGCGCGCACCAGCGCGGTGGCCGATGGCATAAGGCTGTTACGTCGGGCAACCTAGGCATGCTATGACGGAAGTAAGGGGCTGACCACCATCTACAGCTAAACGCGCAAGGATGGGTGGCGGTTAGGGACTCATAGGCGCACTGTCGCGGGCTACAGCGACGAGCGGCTATCCGTGGCGGCAGCGCGACTGTTCCGACGGCCTAAGGTTCTATCGGGGTGGTGGGGATAGCGGGTAAGCACCAGTAGCTCACCGGAACTCATGCTACAGTGACAGTTGAGGCGGAGGAGTGCCGAGGTGGCCTGGCCACATGTGAGCCGCCGGGGCGGCGGTGCTCCGGGATGGACACCCACGCGTCACCATGTCTCCGGCAAGCGCCCTGGCAAAATGGCACGAGCACCAGATAGAGGAGGTTAAAGCGAGCTCGTGGATACAAACAATTGAACCCATTCGGACCTTGCTCCAATTTCACTGGCACGGCGGCGCACCTGGCCAGCAGCGAGAAAAATGCCAAATTGGCGGCCAGTAGTGCTTGGCAGGGCATGGGGAAGATGGGGCGCCTAGTTGACTTCTTATGCCACCTACTGGTGCGAGGAATCAAACTGTGGAGCCCTAAGCTAGGCGAATTGGAGGGCGAAAGGGCAGAGCTCAAGCCGTGGTCATGCCGTGGAGAGGCACACGAGTGAGCACAAGTGGATTAAGACGGACGGCTCTGATTGATAGCCGCAATACGAGCACATGAGCACAGGTGACGAGACAATGGAGGGCTTGGCATGACACGCTTGAATTGGAGCAGCCAGACCCGAGCAGGGCTCACCGACGTCGGCTAGCGGGGTAGGGCGAGGCAGGGAGGCGTCCCATCGCCATTGTGACCGGGGTCATTGGCCTAGGCACGACGAGCAATGGAACACGCTCGGGGGTTCGGCGCTATAGGTGGATCGAAAGGTGAGGCGGGCACCACGTTGGCCGAGCAACGACCACCACAGCCTAGAGTTACCCTACACGCGGCATCATGGCCAGCCACCCAAGCACGACGCACACGTAGCAGCGGGAGCCAGGCCTCAGCCAGGCTGTAGGCGCTGCGCGGCATCACCTGGGCGCGCGAGCTGGCCATCGGCAGCAGCCCGACCACGGCCTGAGCCCGGCGCCAGCAGCGCCCACGTGCGCGGTGACCGTGAACTCGGGCCAAGAGGTAGAAACTGGTGACGTGCACGCATTTTAAAGCGAAGCAAAAGTTGCTAACGATCACGATCGAGGTTCAACTAATTCCCCTAATCTAAAGCCGATACTAACACCCAACTAGCGAAGCAAACCTCACATCCAGAGTGCGACCAGAAAGGAAGAAAGGGAGGTGCCAACATGAGTTCGTTACGCTGAACGCCGGTTTGCGAACCGAGCACCAAATCATGGTTCACAGCGCGTTCTAAGGAGGTTTGGGCAATTTTAGAGCGGGCAACGTGACATCCAACACAACTTTGACCTATGCCATGCTCAAGTTCTCACTTTGATGCAATCAACAATACGAAAACATACAGCTAGTGTTTAAACATTTTTGTTAGAAATTAAATGTCAAAATAACATTGTCTTACTACTTTTCCCATACTTAAAAAAGTTAAGGTTAAGTTCGAACTAACAGCCATCAACACTTTTATTATAATTTTTAAAAGGCCTAAACCCTATTAACCGCTACCAACAAGTATTTCATGTAATGGTCCATACTTCATACTAGCCCATAGGAATAAAATATTTAAGCATTAATTAATTATTTCTTCCACAATAAATCGCTAAAAATAGTACTTTAAACGTAAGTTCAAGTGTGTCGTCTTAACGAAAAGAGTTCATCTTAACTTCAAATATGATTTTTGAGCTCCCAAGAGCACAAGTTAACACTATTTATTTTGATTTTCCCCAACCACAAAAGTGAGTCACATAGAATTGGTTTATCATTTCACGTACGTTATAAATTTTTAAAACCCGAAAACTTGTTAGGCTAATCCCTCTCGGACCTAAATCTTGGTGCTAAGCAAGCTCGTAACACCAGGGGTGTTACATGCAACATGAGATTGAAGCAACTGAAACATACTACAACATCTGAAGTAGTACTACTGCAACATCGCAAAAAACATCTATTGCAACAACAACAACAAAATCCATTGCAACATTCGAAATCATCTGTTGCAACATAAAAAAACATTACAACACGACGAGATCTGACCCCGAGAGCTTGCTGAAACTCTAGCCACCGCCGCATCCCTTAGATCCGGAGGAGAAGGAGGAGGGCTCAGATCCAGAGGAGGAGGAGGAGGAGGGAGGAGGGCTCAGATCCAAATCCAGAGGAGAAGGAGGAGCAAGGCCTCAGATCCAGATCCCTCCGCGACCTACCTCGTCGGAGCCACCGCTGCCGTCCTCGTCTCTGGTGGGGTGCGGGAGCCGGGTCGCAGGGAGAGTGGGGGTGCATGGAGGTCACGGAGGGCAAGGGACGGAGGGAGGAAGAGAGCACGGGCGGGCGGGCACGTAGCGAGCTCGCGTGTGGAGGGAGGGAGGGAGGGAGGTCGCGGAGGGGCGAGGGACGGAGGGACAGAGGGAGGGAAGGAGCTCACGCGGCGATGGCGCGAAGAGCGGGCAGGAAAGCGGCGCGGAGAGCGAGGGCGGGGGAACGGGCAGAGTGCGACTGCGGGGCAACGGGTGAAGTGCGAGTGCGGGGGGAACGGTGCGTCCGGAAGCCTGGACGCCCGGTCTTGTCAGTGATATTTTAATTTGGTCAATGGTCGCTCTCCTACTTATCCGATCGATCGCCGTCTGTTTGATGGCTTTTCACAAAAAAAAAAGTTTCAGATGAAGGACCGTGATTTTGACATTGGTTTTATGCCTCCATTGACTATTAAGCTAAGAATGTTCTGGTAGTATTGTTAAGTGAGGGAAAGAATATGTTAATACTCCCTAAAACATGTGAACTTGATTAGATCCTTCTTTCTTCTAATCTAAACTACCTAACCATGCACAGGTTTGGTTGGATTGGATCCTTGACTTCACAGCGGTTCTCCTCCTGAACAATCCAAAATTATTCTCTGGTAGTACTATTATTAAGTGGGGGAAAGAATATTTAGTCAACAGGTGAACAATCCCCCAACATTTTACTCCAGTTTATTTTTATCAAGTGAAAATTATACAACAAACAGTTCAAAGATATGCGTTGAAGCAACAGTCACAATTGTGCGTCTATCTATCATTGCTATTTAAGACCCTAAAATTGACCACAAGGAATAGGAGAAAACACAGCCATTTGGCAGCCATGTCATCAAGAAATGCATGACCTGGTAACGCGACATGCAATGCAAGTGTCCTTGCACAACAAGCCGGCCACCTTGTTGGCCAAAGGCGACGCTCGTAGTCTACCCTGAGAGTGACAAAGGCCACAATTTCCTTTTCTTTTTTGAAAAAAGGGGAAACACCTCACTTTCCCAGCATGGTTCATCAAGGCTCGTGTCAAAGTCTTAAAGACTCTAGAAAATATGGTTAATCATGCATCTATCACTAGAAATTTGGAATAGCGGTAGACGACTAGTAATTTGTCCCATGAAAGGTGATGCTGGTTTTCCTTTTTTTCAACAGAACAGGTGACGATGACTTTTGGAGTTTTGGGATGGTGCTGCAAAGGTGAAGGAGGCTACTAGATGCTGGATGACTTGGGACTTGGGACTTGGAGGCTTTTGCTAGTTTTACTTTGTACTTTGAACTACTTGGGATTTGTACTGATTACTACTCATTTTCAGTGGTGACATCTGGGACCTGCCATCTTTTCGGTCAAACGGTGCCTCTCCAACTTGACTGACCACTACTGCAGTTTCTGACTGCAGACTGCTGGAGAAGGATTTGGAAACGTTGATCGGTACTGATGTGGTTTATACGTCTAATGACTGATGCCTGAGTTAGTGTAGAACAGCAGCTCTGCTGAAATTCTCTGATTACCACAGTAATGCAGGCTTAGCTTCCATTGCCAATCGTTCTGTGCGACAGACAAGTGCTCATAGTCATAGGAGTTGGCCGGTGAGGCGGCGAGCGAAGGGCTGAGCAGAAGACGGCACAGTCGACCACGGCGGTGATTCCATTTCCTTAGGATAGGACGTGTCGTGTCGTCAGCTTTGCATGTTGTAGCGCAAGATGATGGAGAAGCACCAGTGCGGGAGCATCTCGCATTCTTCTGCTCGTGCTGTCGTGCTGTGGCGCTTTTGGCGCGAACGGCAACATGTTCCCATGCCTTTCGGGGGCGCGCCTTTTTCGACCGGCCGTCCTTTCCTCCTCTCCGTCCATGTCCTTCATGACGCATGAGGGACTTCCGCGGCGAAATGTCATCAGCCTCTAGATCGACGTGGACAGCTTTTCAGAGTTACTCCTAAGTTTATGGATTTATACAAACTACATACATAGTTGGTCGAAATTGATTTCAGATCTCACTGCAAACAGCTGGTCGTAATGAATACTAATACACGCGGCTCATCCCGATTTCTCAAGGTGATGCTCACTGACTAGCATGTGTGTTTCTGTGATATCTTATCATCCTTTTGCAACTGGTAGAAAGAGCAACAATAACAGCAGCTGTGATATCATACAGTGTTTCCTGAAGAAAATACCAGGCCTTGACAGATTACCCAACAGAACAGACTACTGAGTGTAACAAACAGGCAGATGAAGAGATGTGAAACATGCAGACACTGAACTCATTGTCTTTCACAGAATCTGAATCTGTTGCATGTTACATGCTGTGCAGGCAATTTAACAGTCATCGACACTTTATTGCGACAGTGGCATGATCAAGGTGAATTACAGGATATCCTGAGAGGGTCTCTCACCTCGGCATCTCGCTACTCAATTCAATGCTGTACATTGCAATGCACATAGATTACATGATGACACATCTAAGAGACAGCCCTTTCTGCTCTACTCTTTGATCTTCATTACCTGCACGGAAGAAACTAAGATTAACAACTGACAGGGGCAGTTTAAAGGGAGCACTTTCGCAAAGATGGAAGGGGCATAAGCTAATATGACTAACTGACCTCATAACTAAAAAATACTAATTACAGTGCATAGTGAAGAAGATTGCTGGTGGCCATGCTCATTTGGTTCCTGTATCTGGTCATGCTGCCAGCTTCTGGCAATAAAAATTTTCAAGTGGGGGTGCTTGCTAGTCATTTTCCAAGAAGCCAGATATTTTTTGGCTTGACAATATAGTCTTGGCAAGGATTTCGGATATTCAAGACAGATTTATTTCAAGTAGCTACAGTTAAACAGCATTATTGTCAGCATCTACTGGAGGAATGGAAAGAAAAATACCTTCATGAGGTTGGTACAGCCTGCGATTCTGAGGAGTTGACATCTCCCTTTTTAAGCTGACCAGGATGTCCTCCATTGTGTGTTCCCTTTGCCAGTTTCCAAGCATAGGAAATAGACTTGGTTCAACCTAGAAAAGGTGCTAGTTAAGTACTAATAGGCCTAACATCATTCATAAATTGCCTTGGCAGGTTGTACGATATAAGAAAAAAAAATGCACGAGTACCAATCCAGTTTCTTGGTTCACACATGTCATATTGATCCGAGTCTGGAATCGAACAGTCGGTGGTTTATCTGGATAATCCGTATCACAAAACAGCTTTAATTGATAAATTCGTCCCTCGTGAACAGTCTGCGAAAAATGCACCTCTTAGGTTTGAGAATAATAAAGCAAATGTATTATGTATCTAACTATGGGTATTTCTACAGCATACATTGGGAGGACCAATGATAGTTCCTGTCCAGGACCGCATATATATGTCATCAGCATCATCCATCCCATAGCTCACAGTTCCATCACCGATGCCCTTCTCACCACATTCTAGTTCTTCTAGCAGCCTAAAGTTTCTGGGAACTGCAGAAAACACCATAGAAAAAGTATGATCTAAATTAAATCAAGCAACATACATAGCAGGTATTCAGAGTTCAAATTCGTTGTTCTTGTGAACAAAATAAAAGAGCAACAAAGTTTCATGGTTTACTGGAATTTAGTTTGGTTACCCATTAGACTTGGAATTTTGAAAAAGAAAATCATACTGTTGACTGCTATAAAAGAACAGAGATATCGGTGCGTTAGATCGAGCTTGCTTATGTGTACAATGATCTGATTGATGCTTTTGAGAAATGGTGCTATATAGTATATATACACATAGAAAACAATGACCTGATAAATGCAAGAAGGCTGAGAGGACAATAGTTGCAACTTTATAACATGGACTTCCGGAGGCATTAAAGGTAGAAAACATTTCCTCCTTTCCCACAAATTCCAAGCCATCCTTTTATATGAGCCAAGTGCCTCCAAATCAGTAGCATAAATACCATGCTCTATATTTGGGGCAATATAAGAGGTTTGGTCAGATTATAAACAGGTGGCTGATAGCCTTATCTTTCAGAGGAAATTAGAATTTGCAGCTACTCTAAAATGAAGATGAAGGATCAAACATGTAATTCCCAATCAACTTGTGAGTGCACTCCAACTATCCCAGCCTTCTGACAACTATTTTGACACTTAAAGCTTAATAGGTTGTCTAAAAATAAATAGTTGGGGGCAATGGGACTTTAAGTGAAGGAGCTTAAACTTAGCAAATAAGCCACATACAGGCCCACTAAACATGTCCCGACTCTAATTATGTAGTGAGTGAAATCAGGATTGTTGACATCTTTGAGTATGCGCTACCAGGTACCTCCAGTCAGCTATATAGCAGGCTAACATGTTAATATGTGATGATCTCACAGAATATGTTGTTGGGCCATGGAAAAGTACATGTGGAATTGAACATGAATAAATGGTACTCCATTCATCCCAAATAAGTGCACATCTCGCATTTCAAGGAATCAACTAATTTTGAGTTTGACTAGATTTATATAAAATAGTATCAACATTTGTATATCCAAATAGGTTTAATATGAAAATAAATGACGTGACTAATCTAATGATGCTTATTTGATATCATGAATGTTAGTATTTTTTGTATATATATTTGGTCAAACTTGAGATTGGATGACTCCTTGAAATATGATGTGAACTTATTTTGGGACGGAGGGAGTATAAAAATAAGTTTGATTGGAATCTGCTTGATGATGATCAGTTAGTCAGTATAGTTATGGAATTGTGATATTGGGTTTAAAAAGACTATTGACTAGGGCCACTGAACACCCCACCGCTCCCAAGCTCAAAATATGAGATGTGCACTTATTTTGAGACAGAGGGAGTATAAAAATAAGTTTGATTGGAATCTGCTTGATGATGATCAGTTAATCAGTATAGTTATAAAATTGTGATATTGGGTTTTAAAAAAGACCATTGAACACCCCACCGCTCCCAAGCAAGCAGGTATGCATGTGAACAACAATTCTGAATTACATTTACCACTTCTGTTGAAGATACCAAATCAACAACTCTACACCAAAGTACATTAATGTTATCTCACTGTTGTCCTAATGGAAAGCTGCTCTTTAGCTCATAGCTAGTGAATGTCTATTTATCCCCTTTAGGCAAGCAGATGCAAATCTTTCAGCAAGATCTCATAGAGGCTTTTCCACATAAGCAAGGCCACACATTAACTCAGCGCATGCTAGTTTCAGGAAATTCAGTTGATCAAGGTGAGTTGTGGATTTGTGCTATTTACATCAAGGAATGGCTAACAAAATCTAAAATGAATGAAGGAAATTGATAAAATGTCCATGGGTAGGTGTAGGACTAACAAGTAGGTAAAGACTAATATTAGAATCAGCATCACTGCCAAGAAGAGCAAGCATGGGCCCCCTTTAACTGTTAAAAAAGACCGTTAGGAGTAATTTCAGCTTCATTCCTTTACAATTTGGAAAATTATCTTTTGGTTATTTGAGGCATTGTAGTCAGAAATAGCTAAGCTTGACTCAATTCTGAACACCATTACTGTAGCTACACATAAGGATCTATAATCACTAGATTACTATATACTTGGAAATTTGATTCCAGTTACCAGATTGCACTTGTGGATTAATGGGCATTCCTGCTGGATAAGGATAACAAGCACCACATGCATATGCTAGTTCACTACCACACTAGTTACTAGTACCCGAATCAATATATGACTCAACCGTCCGGAAACGTACAGCTCTCAGATTACAAAACTATTTCAAGAGCAATGATTCCCAACAAGAAATGAGTGTGACTGCGCAACAAATTCAGGTGGTCCAGCCAAATCCCTAACCAATCGATCCATCTAGAATTGCGCCAATAGTCGAGTAACTGAACTCTTCTTTGCTTATCCATGAAGGAACAAGCTTCCAAGTCTCGACCAAAACCTACGTAATAACTATCATTTAGAAGGAAAGGTCAGCTGGGCCTCACCAATAACTACAGGGAGATCCTAAATTTACCCCGGCATTCCACCTCGGCACTACAAGTCTGCAATCCCATCCGAAGGCAATCCTAGTTCCCGACAGACCTATCTTTAGCCCAAGAGGTTGTTCACTACATGGCTGTAGAAACGGTAACTCCGCACCGAAGTCGCGCACGGCAATCTTGATGTGGCGTCAATTTCAATCAGAAGCAATGCCAGATCGGGTTCCCCAATCAGCCCCAGGTGATCCTGAGCCCACTCCCACCAAGCTCCCTCCTCCCTTACTCGACGGGCGGCCATATCCAATCGGGAATCCAAACAGCCATGCCTTGTTGGCCACAGAGATCCCGACTCTCCACTCGAATTAGCAGACCGACGAACACACAAACACACCATATGCAACTAGGCACCTCGGGAGAAATGACGGACAGAGACTGCTACTCACCGATAACCGGACCCGAGGATCCCTCGGACCCCATGGCGAACCCGTCCGCTTCCTTCAGCTTCGACGCTGCCCCCTGCGATCTCTTCAGACGGGAGGAGAGGAGGATGCGTGCTGGAAGCGGCCGTGCTAAACCGAGCAGGGAGGAGAAGGAATATACCAAGCGCCGCCCCCGCGTGAGGTCGTCTTCGGTGGGACGCCGAGGTCCGAGCGGGGACTGGGGACTGGGGAGTAGAGCAAGAAAGGAACTGCTCTGCCGGGCAGAGGAAGGAATACCGGATACAGCAGACAGAGGGTTAGAATAAGGCCCGGTTTCGTGAATTTCATCTAAACTGTGTAATTAGTTTTATTTTTATTTATATTTAATATTTTATATATGCGTCCAAAGATTCAGTGTGACGAAGAATTTTAAAAAATTTTACAAAATTTTAGGAACTAAACAGGCACTAAATGGAGTTATTTAACTTTAGCTCCCACTTATTGAAAAAAAGAAAATAATTAAAAACTGAAATAAATACTTCTTCTACCCTAAAATAATGGACACTTTAGGGGCAGTTTGTCAAGGCTGTGACTCATAAAACAGCTTGGGTCCTCTTATATTATCTCAAGACCTTTTCTAAATCTCATTCTCTATATCACCATTTGAAAAACCATTTGTATAAAAGTTGCTTTCTATATCTTCTCACTCTCCAACAGTTTTTCTATATCTCATGCGTACTCTAGAGAGCTATTCTCGTCTTCTGTTTTTGGCTAGCGAAAAATCTGGAATAGAGGATGGCTATATTTGATGACCATTTAGATAAGCTGTTGAGGGGTAGTTTTTTTACCAAAATTTATATTCTTGGCACTTATGAAGGATATGGAGAGTCTATTGAAGATGCTCTTACGAAGCAATTGCTCCAGTAGAGGTAAAATCATTTTGAAAACATTTGGCAAAAACAACCTCAGTAGCAATTTTGTAAGATAGACATTTGACACGGTACCATGGCAAGAGCCAAGAAGGTGAAGCCATGTCAAAGAGGCTCTTAGCTATGAATCTAAATTGTCAAGTTAGGGGATCCCCCACCCCCGCCTCCGTCCCCGCCCCCACATGCTGTTGTGCTGCTGGTCGCATATTAACTTCATCCTTGAAGTGCAACATCCACCATATTTAGGCTTTGTGCATAGGTTATGTTGGTTCTCATCTTAGACCTAGCCTATCCTAGCTAGCTAAGCCGTGCAGCTAAAACTTGGCTCCTGCAATGAAAGAGGTGTCTGGTTTTCTTATCCTAGATAAGCCTAGCTTGTATAGATCCTATTTGGATGGCTGGTTAGCTCGGATACCGTCACCATGTTCTTTTGAAGGTGAGTTTTAACTCAATCACAGTCCCGGGGTTCACCGCGTGGAGGTTGAAGAACTCAATGGCGATGAAGGCAAGCATGCGAAGGAGGCAGGCAGAGATGATGAGGTTGTGGCGCATGTGCATGCCGCAAAGGAGGAGGCCTAGGTCAAAGATGGGTGAGCGCTAGGGCATCCGGACTAGGGGCCGCTGCGCTCCGCCTTCGACGGAGAGGAACACTAGGAGGTGAGACGAGCGCGAGCGGAAGCCTGGTTACGGGGAACAACCCCTCTCCCATTTGCACCTGGTCTGTCTTTAGTGTGGTCGGTGCATTGTTGGGCCTAGCCTGAAGGCCTGTTTAGGCAATCAAACAGGCCCAAGTTAGCTTCATAGAGCTTAGATCTAACTCTACAGACAGAATTCATTCTTTTTCATGTATTTGCGGATCATATTTATTAAGGATAATATCCAAAGCCACTAGTCCATCCAATTTCCTAAACTTCAATCAAATCAAAGAAACTAAAGAATCCGCCGAAGAAAACAGGGGGAAAGTCAAAGAACCAAGCACATTTATATTATTGCGACCCTACCTGACGCTATGTCACCAAAACAGAGAAAAGCATATGCCTCACCTAAAAGCTAAGCACACGTAAACTAAGAAGCTAGCAAGCTATCAAGCTCTCATCGCGAGCAACACAGCTAAGGTCTGAAAAAGCGTACATGGCTTTTTGCTAGATCTTTTCCTATCTTCTCTCGGATATAGCATAAACATCTAATGGAATCTCGCATACTTGGTTAGAGGCTTTATTCTTTTTCAGATGAAGCACTTGTTACCTCAGAAAGCCACTCTTATAGTCTGAAGAGCCATTAAACTATATGATATGGAGGTGAGATGCATACGTGGAAGATGGGGCTAATGCCCACGCTGGAGCTGGTCCGATGGGGAAGCCCTCAGAAGACATTCACCCCTGTTCGCTTATGCTGAAATTTAGTTTATGTCGATGTTTATGCTAAAATATTATAAGAAAAAATATTGTTTCATAGCTCAAAAGTAGCTCAAGCGAACAGGGTGATTATCATGGTCTAATCTCTTCAGTAATAGTGAAAGATGACTTCGTCGGTACTCGTGATCCAAAGGATGCATTGGCCTCCTCTCTTATATATATACTAGATGGACAATGCTCTCTGTGCGGGATCATGGTTGAAGACAGCTTCCATGCAACGGTGCGGGACGGTGGAGTGTCCGCACGCAAGGAATCTCAGATGGGCAATGAAAGAACACTAGTAGAAGCCGTGCGCCCCTTTGCGCGAGCACAGGTGATTATCTAATCTTATGATTGGTATACCTTATTCACATAAGCATGACAAACCTGTAGATGTTAATGGATCCTGGCAACATGAATGGATACTATTTTCTTTGCAAGTGCAAGCCTTAAAAACTAAACTGTGACAAAAAGGAAAAAAGATCATGAGAACAGAGTGTCCCACTGAGAGACAGAACCACAAATGTGGTCGGCATAAATCTCAACTGAATCGTGCATTTGTACCTGGAGCTAAATTTGCTTGGAATAAGAGCACACACATTTACACTGGTAGTAGCTTTGAGCAGATACCACAAATGGAAAATGAAATGTTATTTTCTTTAAGCGGATGCAATGTTCTTGGTGGTTCTCACTTGAGCAAGGGTAAAAGAAGTATGAGTTGAAATGGATGGATGTTAACTAAAGTTGCCTTTGCACTCCACTCAGTCACAAAGAACCGCTATCCGATCAACCAAGTGTGAAGGTACTGCATCTAGGTTAGTATACCACGCAACTATTTGTCCTCAACAGGACGACTGAATCGGGGAAGGATTGGATTTGGAGTTGCAATGGAAGCTAGTTAAAAAACTAATCATTACAATGTTGTAGCGTCCGGTCACACATTGCGACAATTGAAATCGATTAACAGCATTTGAAGCGTTTCAAGCATCAGATGACCACCGATTTGTTTGCCACATCCGTCTCGGTCAATCGGACCGAGCCCCAAACAATATTATATTGTTGTTATATACATGCACATTTATTTGGGCCTCTGTTCCCATGGCATATCAAGACGAAAAGGTACATTTTCATTGACATAGCAACCTTGTGAGCTTAGCCAAAGCCCTCCCACTCATCTATATCATTGATTCATCATCATAGTGAGATTGATGAGTAATTTAAAGTGCATATTTTGATTGATTGCATCTAGAGGCACTAAATTAGTATAATTTGGTTCTTTAACATTTGAGGTGACAAATCTTGGTGGTTGCCGCCACCTAGGACGGCTTGGACCCAAAAGGATCTAGATACATAGCCAAGGAGGTGATTGTTCGACTCGCTTTTAAGATTGTGAGGGTTCTTGAAAACATGCATGTATCCATAAAAAGGTACTTATTAAATTGACATGTGGCTTGAAAAATCCTCAAAATAGCGATAACATATTGAGGGTTTGCAGTGATGCCAATATGGGGATGAACCTCCAAGTGAGTGAATGTGAAATGAGGAAGATCACAAAAAGTGATAATCGGTAAAAATCATTGTGTTCATCATTTGAAGCCGAGGTGATTGATATACATTGGTATTCATATATTGTGATTGATTGGTTCCTACCATTAACAATGGTATAACTCTCTTGCTCACTTACAATAAAGCGCAACCCTAGTTGTCAAGCTCTATATAGTGTATGAAAAGACTGAGAGCTTGTTTGTTTGATTAGTGTTGCATTGAGACAAGTCTTTGATTTTTCTACACAAGACAAACCTTATGCATATAAAATAAATGGATATATACTATGAAATGGAATCAAGGGAGGTGACTTGCATCTTTGAGTAGGCGATCTTCACTTCACAACATAAAATTGCTAATAATAATTGTTAAGAAGTACATACCTCTCATTTCATTGATTTTCACTTCACCTTTAGCCATTAGGACCTTTCATACTTGATGAAAAAGAGTACAACAGCAATGATTGCATTGAGCCAAGGTCCGATTTTTGCTTGAGAACACTACGTTATCATGAGCAAAATAAATTTATACATGCAAGAAATGAAATCAGGGATCGGAGACATAGAGCATTATCATTTCTATGTACCGACAATGTATAATTGAACTAAAACAAATCCACATACCTCTCATTTCATGATTTTCACTTCACCTTTGGGAAACCCTCCCTGTCATCATTTTTAAAAAATGGAACCTAAATTTGCTTCATCCAAAAGCAAAAAGACACGGTACAACAACGAACATAATTAAAATTTATTTTGAATAAAGATATTTATCAAAAAAGTGATAAATATGTAAATCTAGATATTTGATATGGAACAAAAGACTATTCACCCTAGGAAGACATGAATCTAAGCATATGGTTTTCATATATTCAAAACTCAACGTTACTTAAAAATGTAATCTCCTTCATAAAAAGAGTGTGGATTTTTTATTCCCATATGTTATTTGTCAAATGCCGCACATTATCCAAAATCTCCAACATGTTTTCATTTTTTTTTAGTATTGATTGAATATTATATAATGTAATAAGGAATATGGCAAAAAGGAAATATAAAATTATTGTGCTATTCATATAAGTACATTGCATGTTTTATGCACCGGAACCATGCATAATTCATAGAGCAAAAGAAAAGAGAATTAACTACATCTGAATCAAGAATTAAAACAAAATGAACCTCTTTGTAATTTCT